ATATATATATATATATATATATATATATATATATATATTTTTGTATCTATATTGGTAAAATGTGTAAATATGGAAAACTATCTGCATGTATAAATGTGTTCCAAAATTTAATGCACACATATTTTAAACATGCAGATCTCATTGGTTAAGAACAACTGCTCATTTGTTGTTTTTTTGACCATTCTAGGTCAGGTTTTTTTTTTATGCCAGAAAAAGGACATCACCCTCACTACAATCTGGTTCACAACAACTTTTTCTTTTTCTAATTCAACTGAAGATGGCGAGCTAAGACCTCTACCTGTGCGGTAGGATACAGACTCTATTTTTCTATAAGGATAAAAACTATTCTCTTCTCAACCCTGGATTACCATAGCGTATGGACTAATAATCTAACCTAACTGAACCTTGGGGATAATTAATCAAAAACTGTTTTGTTATTAATGTTTGTGTGTTTGTTGTTTTTTTTTTTGTGTGTGTCTTGGCCACTTTAATACAAAACTAGTTAAACCTTATTTTTGTCTCTGATTATTCACACCTCGGGCTCCTCAACGAACCCTCTTCTGGTAACATCTTTCTACATCTATATAGTCAGTTCCTTTTCATTAGCCTTTAACAAGCGTTACAGATGGGATTAAATTGATCTCAGGTAATAACGTAAGGTATTATTTTTCATGAGGGCCCGTACTTTAAATCTCATTTTTAGGAAGTTTCTATAAATTCCGTCTTTCATTTCAGGAATAATGCAAACTTAGAAATATCCTGTCCAGGGGTGATACTGAGAAACTAGTCCATGCATTTGTTACTTCAAGGCTGGGCTATTGTAATTCTTTACTATCAGGAAGTCCATAAACTGTATAGTTAAAACCCTTCAGCTGATCCAAAATGCTGCAGCCAGAGTTCTGATAAAAATTAAAAAGCGATCATATCTCTCCTATCCTGGCTTCTCTTCATTGGCTTCCTGTTAAATCCAGAATAGAATTTAAAATCCTCCTTCTTACATATAAAACCTTAAATGGCCAAGCTCCATCTGATATCAAAGATCTGACTGTCCATTATGTTGCTTTTTGATAAAGCATATAATTAAAAACAATGATGTTTGCTTAGTTGCTGGGTGAGTAGAGAGGTAAGTGGAGGTAGAGTGTTAACAGTTCAATCCAGGGGGGAGAATTTCATTCTGTAAAGACATTTCTCCTCAGCTCTACATTGGCCCTATTGTGGCTCTAAATTTCTAATACCTCATCCAAAGTAATTTGGTTATAACCTATTTTCTGTATTTGTGCTGCTATACGTTTCGGCTGCTGGATCACATAGGGTTCACTTTTCCTCAATCTGCTTCATTCTATCTCTGTTCTCCCATTCTGCAGTATTTATCAAGTTCCACTCATAACTTTATGATCTGCTTTTTGTACTCATAGTAGCCTAATCTGGTCCGATGTGTCATGTTCTTTTTAAGGTATCTGACCCGCATTCAGGGAACCACTCAGAGAAACAGAGAAAAGGTTTAGCAGGTTTATTGAATACACGATGAGTTGGATCCAGTGTTTCTCAGAATGCTGCTGAACTGGAACTGAAAGTGAGAAGGGAAGTTCAGTGTTTAGTTCAGGCTCAGTGAGAAACTTGAGCGACGACTTGCAAAAAAAGAGACTGGGTTAGGGACCCACTTAGATAAAAGTCTCAAGAACCAGGGATATTAGATTTTTTATTTTTTTTACTCAAAGCTGAATCCCTTCTTAAAAGCAGCTCATCTGAGGTTCTTCTGTTATGGTGGTTTAGCTCAAAATCTGAACTGGGAATCGGATGCAGAACAGTTCTTTGTTGTCTTTATCTCTCAGCTCCCACTCCACAACACATTTGATAGAAGGATACTCGCTCTTTACTGGTAATGAAGAAAAAAAATTGTAAAAATAAAAACAAAAAAATGAAAACAGTAATATCAACTAAATATCTGTAAAAAGGAAACCCTCACATTTTCTTTTTTAGTTGGCTGTGGCTAAGAATCAGAAATGTTGATGCTTACAGCCTTTATTTGCCCATCGGTCTCCGCCAGGTGACGTCATTGTTTACCTCGGGCGCGGTGCATCGTGGGAAAACCACCATATTAGGCGGAAAGTCGAGTTAACCCACACACGGCTGTTCTTTCGGCACAATTATTAACCTGAAATGGCCCGATCGTGTTGTGTGAGAGGCTGCCAGTCCCGGCATGGCAGATCGGGGGACGAAGGAATCAGTTTTTTCCGTTTTCCAACCTGGAAACGATCACACGGACCTCAATTGGAGGAAATAACAAAGAGACGTCGCATGGCCTGGCTTTCAGCAGTGAGGAGAAAGGATCTCATTTTCAACAAAACATTCCCCCACATGTGTGTTTGTTCTCGGCACTTTCATAAAGGTAACATAAACTTTTAATATTACTTAAACGTCAGAAAATGCAATATTTGTGTTTTATTATTATTCATAATCACCATTATTCTAACTTATTATTTTTTATTATTTCAAAAACAAATTTAAACACCCATATTAAATTAATTAATTAATTTGATATAAGACATAGCCTTATCCAGTATGAACTTGCTTTCTAAATCAAACCTAACATGTGGTTTCAGGTGAGCCAGCTTATGAGATGATGGAGAGTGACCCAGACTGGGCCCCATCCTTACATCTTGGACACACGTTTATCAAACCAACAGACCCTGGTCGCTCTGCCAGACGAAGGGCACGGGAGCAGACACGGAAACAGACCCTTCAGTCAGCAGAGACAGGCATACACCAGGATGTAAACACTGACGGGCTACAGACCGAGGAGACATGTGATGCTGAAGAAGGAAATGGTCAGCTGGAGGTTGGAAAGGATGGAGAAAAAAACCCTCAGCAGGAGATCAGAGAGGATGGAGAAGAAAACCAAGAACACCCTCAGCAGGAGATTGGAGAAGAAAACCCTCAGCTGATCACAAACAAGGAGGTGCAGAACCCCACTGAAACTGTGACTCAGCCTGAATGTGACCTGTGTGTGCTCAGGCGTGCAGAGGTCAACCGCCTGACAGAAGAGAATATTGAACTGCGACGCAAACTTAATGAGAACATGATATCCGATAGTTTCTTTGGAGCTGATGATGAAAAAGTAAAGTATTACACTGGTCTGCCAAACCTTGCAACCTTCCTGGCGCTCTTTAATTTTTTATTGCCACTCATGTCATATCAAAAGAAATGTCTTACTCCTTTTCAGATGCTCCTATTCACACTCATGCGCTTAAGATTGGATTTGCCTCTGCAGCACCTTGCTTATCTGTTTCATATTTCTCCAAGGACTGCACAAAGAACATTTCATGATATGGTTTCATGTCTTTATGCAAATTTGAGGCGTGCTATTATATGGCCAGACAGAGACACTCTCCGCAAAGTAATGCCACATCAGTTCAAGGAGGCCTTTGGAAACAGAGTAGCAGTGATTATTGACTGCTTTGAGATATTTACAGAAAAACCATCAAACCTAAAAGCGCGTGCCCAAATGTTCTCCAGCTACAAGCACAATCACACCATGAAATATTTAATAGGTGTGACACCCAAAGGAGCCATTTGTTTTTTGTCCAAAGGCTGGGGAGGTCGTACAAGCGACAAACACATCACGCTGAACAGTGGCTTCCTTGACAATTTGTTGCCTGGGGACCTGGTCTTGGCTGACAGAGGTTTTGACATACAGGAGTGTGTGGGCATGCTGTGTGCTGAAGTTAAACTCCCAGCATTCACCAAAGGCCACTGTCAGTTAGCAGCTAGAGATGTGGAGGAAACTAGGAAAATAGCACATTTGAGAATCCATGTTGAACGGGTGATTGGAAATGTATGTCAAAAGTACAAAATCTTAAATGGAACTATTCCTATTTCAATGGTTTTACCCTGTGCTGGAGAAGAGGTCACATTCTTGGATAAGGTCGTCACTGTGTGCTGTGCCCTGACAAATCATTGTCCAACTGTGGTGTAGATACAGAAATCACCCAAGATGTAAAAGCATTTTGATTTTTTTACTTGTGCATAAGGAAGGCTTGTACACACTGTAAACTTTCTTTTTTAGCACAATAAACTTTTTTCAACAAAACTTGTAAACATTAGCATAATAGAAATATCCCCACAACCTGCAAATATCAACCTGTAAACATTCTTTTGTAGCATCATAAAAAATTGTCAAACACTGAAAACTTGTAAACATTCTTTTTAGAATAATAAAAGTCTTCTAAAACCTTCTAAAACTGTAAATATTCCTTTTTTTTGGTAGCATAAAGAACATGGGTCATTGAGAAAAATATTAAGTTGAACTGTTTTTATGTGTGCATTTAACTGTCAAGTGATCAGTGCAAAAGTAAACACAAGGAATAGCTTAACATACTGGTAACATATGTAAAGTGAAGAGGTAGTAGTATGAGGTGCTCAGCTACATTTGTCTGGTGAACACAAACAACACTGCAAAAAAAAAAAAAAACAGTTTAAGTTTTTAAATTTGAGCACTTCCAGTGTCAAGTGATTAGTGCAAAAGTAAACACAAGCAATAGCTTAACATACTGGTAACATATGTAAACGCAAAAAAATCACTGTAAAACACACTTAAAAAAAAAACAGTTTAAGTTTTTAAATTTGAGCACTTCCAGTGTCAAGTGATCAGTGCAAAAGTAAACACAAGCAATAGCTTAACATACTGGTAACATATGTAAACACACAAACATCACTGCAAAACACATTTAAATTAACAAAGACAGTTTAAGTTTTTGAATTCGAGCACTGAGGGCAAAGCCAAAAATCAGACTGAGCATCTTTGAGGTGTAGGCCAACACAACTCAAATGAAACCAAACGATGGGGCAGTTTTCATTGTCACAGGCCACCATGTCATCTTTGGCCTCCGGTCCATGGCACAAACACCATAGCTTGTCAGCTGCTACAATGTTGTTTGCTTTTTCAGCCAGAGGTTTTGCAGCCTTGCAAGGTCTTTTCCTTACAGGATCAGAGCTGTCTGTCAGCGGTGCTCGTTGTGCATCACGTGTGAAGAAGTGGCTGACCAGTTCAGGGAGACACACACGCTCAAAGAACTGCTGTGGCTTTTCAAGGAGTGCATTCCACAGCTTGGGGTCAGGTGCCACACGTAACACGACAATGTCTTTCAGGGTCCACACTGCAAAGTCACAATATGCTGTATTAGCAACAAAAATTTGGGTCTGCACTTGTTTGTAGTATGGATGCTCCTTCTTAAGCTGCAGCTTTCCATCCACCATTTCCAAACAGAAATTTTTATCACCACTCCTGCATGCCTCCAGAATGGTCTTGTCTCGGTACTTGAATGGGCACTTTATCTCGACACAGCCTTTTCCGCAGCAGGTGCACAGTACAATTGCATCAGGTGATGCTCCAACCTGGGGAAACTTGGGGTTGATAATGAACCCAGACTGGCTTAGCTCAAAGTCACAGTGTTGGTTTTCCATTTTCTGTTTGTACTGTGTTTGCCCTCTCTGTTCATTTTGTCTCCCCCATACAGTGGCAGCACAATGATTGGTTGCACCGCTGTTTGTGCCACATACTGCTTTGATGGTTGAAACTGCAGCGTTGTCCAAATCTGACCGAAAGACTGCGTGCATGGTTGATGCTGTTACCCTTCCTGTGCGAAACCGATACCATGTTGAGGATCTGTGCTGTGATCTACTATGCAATTCTATGTAGTGGGCCTGGTCCTGTGAAATGTCTGCCTTTTTTAACAAAGTTTTGCAGTGCAACCGTAACGCAGACAAATCACTGCAATCCATTTTTTTATCACGCAGTCGGGACAATGAATCTGGTGCAGGACATGGCTGTAATGTGTCTGCAAATGAATCACAAAATCCTGGTACACAAGACAAAACAGCAGCTTTAGGTGAGGCTTTCTGCAGTTCACAAAGATATGCGCTCCACTGGTCCTGTGTGCTGGTGTTGCCTGTGCAGGTGCTTGTGACAGTTCTGAGCGCTGGCATGTGTTCGGCCTGACCATCCAAGAGTTGGTCTAGGCTTTTCCGTTTAGCTTTTGATGATGTAAAATCGATCTTGTGTCCCACCTTCGCTCCCACTTTGTTTATGTTGTTCGGTATCATCCAGTATGCAGGCTCTCCTGTAACAGTTGTTTTCTCCCTGCATCTGATAGTGGCCTCCAACTTGAACAGCATGGCAGCTACATGCGTACAGGTCTCTGCTATCCCAGCCATACATGTACAGTGAGCAGATGATATGGCTCCTGATCGGTCAATGATGGCCCAGGGTTTCAGTGGTGTGTCGTTTAGTCTTTGGGAGTGCATGACCTACAAGGAACATAACACAGATACAAACGTTTTAGTGGGATGGGAGTCTTAAATATGTTCAGGCAGGGGGGATTTAGCATTAGGCAATACTAGGCAGGTGCCTAGGGCCCCAAGTTCCTGGGGCCCCCATAACATGTATGTTTAATACAGCTATTCCTGACTTGTGCACTTTAATTATGTTTTTGATATAAATGCTTTCGCTAAAAGGACAGCAGCAAACCATTTGAAAAAAAATTATACAATGAGCGGTTTTGTACTTGAGCGACTTTACAGGCTCTTCTAGCACTTTAATATCAAAAAAGGGCCTAGCGCCAAATCTTGCAAAATTTTTCTGCTACTGGAGACTTTGGCGACCACATTCATAGGGCCCCCTGCCTGTCTTTGCCTAGGGCCCCCATTTTTCTAAATCCGCCCCTGTTTTCAGGCTTATGTTAACTGTACAGACTTATCTTGGACAGGCTGCTATGTAAACGTGGGCATAAAAAAAAAATATTTTGATTACTGAACATCATTTAGGAGCTTGCTTGAGAAGCGTTGAGGGAGCTTACCTTTGCAGTAACAACTGTGTTGTTGCACATCTGTGGTCGGTAGGAAAACAGATCCTGAACCCAGCCATTTGTGAACTGTCCGTGTGCTTCCAGTGATTTATATGCCTTGAATTCCTCGCACGTGTAGGCACTGACGCCAAACACTAGGTAAGTGGTTATGTCCACTGATGAGGTCGGAGGCAGTGAAGAGACGTCGGAGCTCCAGTCTTTGCTCCGGAGATCATAGGGATCTATGCCGTTAATATCCGACAGTTTGGCCAAGTAACGGTCCCTGGCCTCGTTGTTAAGTTTTTCCCGGTACGGTAGTTTCACATTCTGCTTACTTTTTTCCATGTAGTCGGCGAAAAAAACTCAATCCTTTAGTCCTTTTGTTTGGCTGTGCTGCGGCTGTTTACACTACGCCTTCTCCACTCAAAATGGCGTCTTAGCAACAAATGTCACGTGACTGACGGAGACCGATTTTTCCAGCAGTCTTCAGAACTCCTGGCTGACTCAGAATATTTCGTTTTATAAAAGAAAAAAAAAAGGTTTTTGTTTTTTAGTGTACATGATATTCATTTTTTAATTGGGACTAGTTTTGTAGCCTAATATTAATTGTTGTAACCGCTGCATTCTAGTGTGAATAAATTTTCAATGTTGTGCTCCAAGCACACGCGGACTAGTAAACAGCCAATCAGAGAGAGAGAAGGCGGAACTTAAGGCAGAACAACCAATGAGAGTGGAGTTAAACAGCGCAGCACAGTTCCATGCGCTGCTGCGTGAAAGGGACAGGAGAGAGCAGGCAGAGGAGCTGCGAGAGGAAAAGAAGCCACTGCTGTAACAACTACTGCTGTAAATTATAAACATGTTGCTCACATCCAATTATTGGTCGGGACAATTAGGACGGTTCAAAATTTTGGTAGGGACATGTCCCTATGGTCCCTATGCAAACCTACGCCCATGTTTAGGGCTCAGGGAGACAAAGACTCAGTTAGACTCTGCTAAACTCAGCTTGGCTAGAGTACCCAAAACTGGCGAACACTCTGGCGTCGAGGTACTGGCAGTCAGCAGGTTAAGAGTCCTCAGATGAGGCAACCATCTGCAGGTGTGTGGAACAGCCAGCTAGAACCGGGCACCACCTGGTGGTGGAGGGAGAAAACACAAACACACAACCCACACAAACTGGATTCCGAACACGTTGATGTTCGACTGTGACTCCATCGTGCATTGAATATGTGTGCTTCTCCAATCAACATCTTGGTTATATAGATGTTGGAGCTCGGCCCTTTTTCCAAAGTAGTCCTGTTTCCTTCACTGTGACTAGCAGAATTGGCTTGGAGCTCGTCTGCCAGACTACGTCTTTCCTGTGGAGCTAGTAACAGTTTTGTAACTCTGTTTCCTTCTGTACGTCTGCTTCTGTCTCCTTGAACCCCAGTCGGCCTTGGCAGATGGCCATTCCCACGGAGCCTGGTTCTGCTGGAGGTTTCCTCCTGTTAAGAATTCTAGTTTTCCTCTCCACTATCACTATATGCATCCTCAGTTGAGGGATTGCTTAACAGTCAAGGACAAAATGCAAAGGAAGGTCGTTGCCGCAGGCTGACCAGAAGAAGGATGTCGTGCAAGTCAATGATTGGATGCAATCAACTGGCTTTCCCAACCCATCTGACAGTATTGTCTCTGTAAAGTGCCTTGAGATGACATGTGTTGTGAATTGGCGCTATATAAATAAACTTAATTAAATTAGGAGGACTATAAAAGCATGAAGATTGAAAATTGTTTTGGTTTTAAGTATACCACGATACCAGATGCAAGCACATACTTAAATTAATAAGACTGTTTTCTCAGTACTTGATAATAAGACCAATTCCTATTGCCCTGATTACCAAGTGAGACTGAAGAGGCCTTAATGAGCGGCTGGTCTGATTAACCAGGAAAGATCCCCAAGTTTGAGCGGCTGTGCTCTGTGTTAGATAGACGGCAACCTTCACTTTATCAAACCTATAAACAAACATCAGAGAAACCGTCATTTGTCTCAATTAAATGACGTCACTCCTCTCCTATGTGATCACAAGGTGCTTTTAAAGCCTGATATTAAATCACATACAGACTCATCACTCCTAAAGCAGCACAGTTTGACAGAGGAAATCATTGCTGTTTTTTTAAAACGTGACTTAACCTCCTACAGCAAAGTGGGAATTTCTCCGATTTGCAAATCACCACGGTGCATGATCAAAGCTTCAGACCAACATTGAAAGTAATTTATTTACAAACCCACCCACAAACTGTTCCCCCAGCGCAGCACGGTGGCAGCCCACTGTTCCCCAAGGGGATGGGTTAAATTCAGTGAGTTAAGTTCTCCATTGTGAGATCAATAAAGTTATTTCTATCTTCTCTAGATTTCACATTCAGCATCTTCTGGCTGCAGGTCTTTGAGTTCAGTCCAATATTCTGCTCACAACAAACACAACAACATGCAAACTCATCATATTGACTTTATCATTAAATTTACTTCTGATACAAAAGTGATCAGCTGCAGTAGCTTGACACCTGGGAGGAAACTGTAAAACTCCTTAATTTATTCAAATAGAAGAAACATCTAAGTTATTTATCAGCGAGGACTGTTTGGGGAGAGTTCACAGCTTAGGATTCCAGTGGTTCCACATCACTGACAGCCTCACCTGGTATAACAAACTCCACAGCTGCTGTCAGTGAGGCCAGGCAGCGTCTGGATCTCCTGAAAACACCAACAAAAAGTAAAGAGTCTTGAAATCTGCGGGTGGACTTTTAACAATCAGCCACAGAAAACAAGCCGGCATCCAGCCCCACAGAGCGTTAGACTCTGCATCAGAGAGGAACGCCATCCAGAGGATCATCAACACAGGAGATAATTGGCTGCTTTTGTCCCTCAAGACTTTAGTGATCAACAACAAGCTTTTGAAGCTAAAAAAGATTCTAAGGGCTTCTCATCCTGAGCAGCATGTGTTTCAACTTTTACTCTCAGACAAGATTTGCATTGCAAAAAAATATATTTGAATAATTAGATGAAAATGTCAAACATTTAATTAAATGCATTTTAAATAACAAAGTATTTGATGCACAGGTTTTTATTTCCGGTCCATACTAGTAGGAGATTTTTACAGAATGACAAGCCGGTTAAAACGCTGATATCTCAAATTCTTGAAGTCCGTGTGGTTTAGTTGTTCAGTGTGTGTCAGGAATCGTGAATATTTTGTCTCTCACTGATGCCAGAATGGGAGAGCCGCCAAAAGCCAACAAACAAACTGTTGTTTTATGATTTCACTTTCTAAGTGTGTGATGATGTGATGCGATATAATCTGCCTGACTAAGATGATAAATGGCAATGATATGAGCTCACAAGCAAGTATAATTTGATAATGGAAATTAGCTTGTAGCTAAATCTGGTTTGTAAAGCACATTTGCTGTTCAGTTTCCCTTTCAAATAAATACATTCATGTGTAAATAAATACTTTGAGCAGCTACAAATGCACCTCACACCCAATTACAGACTCCACACAAGAGAAAGGAAATGAAACTGTCATGGTCTTAGTTCTGTTGTTCTTTACTTTGCTCCTTGTTTTCTAGGTTTATTGGTTTATTTCCAGTTTTGTTGTAATTTCTAGATTTATGTTAGTTCTCATGTTTTTCTGTTGTCCTCTGTTGCCCTCTTGTGTGTGTTCCTTTCCCCTTGGCTCCCTCGTTGTCTCCTCTCACACCTGCTCCTTGTCAGCTCGTTAGCCCTGCCTTTGTCTCTGTCAGCTATACAGGTGCTGGTCATAAAATTAGAATATCATGAAAAAGTAGATTGATTTCAGTAATTCCATTTAAAAAGTGAAACTTGTATATTATATTCATACATTACCTACAAACTCATATATTTCAGATGTTTATTTTGTTTAATTTTGATGATTACAAATGACAACAAATGAAAATCTCAAATTCATCATATCAGAAAATTAGAATATTGTGAAAAGGTTCAAAATTGATGGCCCCTGGTGCCACACTCTAATCAGCTAATTAACTCAAACCACCTGCAAAAGCCTTTAAATGGTCTTTCAGTCTAGTTCTATAGGCTACACAATCATGGGGAAGACTGCTGACTTGACAGTTGTCCAAAAGACGACCATCGACACCTTGCACAAGGAGGGCAAGACACAAAAGGTCATCGCTAAAGAGGCTGGCTGTTCACAGAGCTCAGTGTCCAAGCACATTAATAGAGAGGCGAAGGGAAGGAAAAGATGTGGTCGAAAAAAGTGTACAAGCAAGAGAGATAACCGCACCCTGGAGAGGATTGTGAAACAAAACCCATTCAAAAATGTGGGGGAGATTCACAAAGAGTGGACTGCAGCTGGAGTGAGTGCTTCAAGAACCACCACACACAGACGTATGAAAGACATGGGTTTCTGCTGTCGCATTCCTTGTGTCAAGCCACTCTTGAACCACAGACAGCGTCAGAAGCGTCTAAAGAGAAACAGGACTGGACTGCTGGTGAGTGGTCCAAAGTCATGTTCTCTGATGAAAGTAAATTTTGCATTTCCTTTGGAAATCAAGGTCCCAGAGTCTGGAGGAAAAGAAGAGAGGCACTTCATCCACGTTGCTTGAAGTCCAGTGTAAAGTTTCCACAGTCAGTGATGGTTTGGGGTGCCATGTCATCTGCTGGTGTTGGTCCATTGTGTTTTCTGAGGTCCAGGGTCAACGCAGCCACATACCAGGAAGTTTTAGAGCACTTCATGCTTCCTGCAGCTGACCAACTTTTTGGAGATGCAGATTTCATTTTCCAACAGGACTTGGCACCTGCACACAGTGCCAAAGCTACCAGTACCTGGTTGAAGGACCATGGTATCCCTGTTCTTAATTGGCCAGCAAACTCTCCTGACCTTAACCCCATAGAAAATCTATGGGGTATTGTGAAGAAGAAGATGCAATACACCAGACCCAACAATTCAGAAGAGCTAAAAGCCACTATTAGAGCAACCTGGGCTATCATAACACCTGAGCAGTGCCACAGACTGATCGACTCCATGCCACGCCGCATTGCTGCAGTAATACAGGCCAAAGGAGGCCCAACTAAATACTGAGTGCTGTACATGCTCATACTTTTCATGTTCATACTTTTCAGTTGGCCAACATTTCTATAAATCCTTTGTTTTTATTGGTCTTCAGTAATATTCTAATTTTCTGATATGATGAATTTGAGATTTTCATTTGTTGTCATTTGTAATCATCAAAATTAAACAAAATAAACATCTGAAATATATGAGTTTGTATGTAATGTATGAATATAATATACAAGTTTCACTTTTTAAATGGAATTACTGAAATCAATCTACTTTTTC